TTTATTTAACTTAATTTTTTTTCATTTTATTTTGCTTTTTTTCTATATTATTTTTTTACTTTTGTTGTTTTATGTTGCTTTGCCAACTGTCAAGCTTGATGCAGACAAACCAAATCTATCCCATTCGGCTGTTACAACGCGGCAGGCGAGCAGACCCCTACACGCACGCATTTTGCAGAAGAGTACTTTACACAACGCCCACCGCTCACACCGTATAGCCAGAAATAAACTTGAAAGACGCTATAAAAAACCGGAATAATGTTGTTGAAGAGATTTTTAAATAACTTGAAAAAAACTGTTTAAGAAAAAGAAGTAAAATAGAAAACATAAATGTAAATAAAAAATATTAAAATAATATAAATATAAATAAAAAAATTAAAAATAAAATATTAATATAAAAAAGAAGTAAAAAAATATATAAATATAAAAAAAGAAGTAAAAGAATGTTAATCCAAAAAAGGAATAAAAAAATGTTAATAAAGAAAAAAGCATATAAATAAAAAAGGAAAAAATTAATTAAGGAAGAAATAGAAAAAAATAAGAAAAAAAATATAAAATAAATATAAATATAAAGTAAAGAGTAAAATAAAAAATATAAAAATTAAAAAAATATTAGAATAAAAAGAAATAAGAAAATGTAAAACTGCAAGTAATATATACGAGTATATAAAAGTATTAAAATACAATCCCAAAATACGTCCGCAGCTGTTAAATACTATTGATGTGCACAACCTATTGATTTCGGCATTTAACGGTGTTGTGGACTAGTGCGCGAAATGTGTAATTTGCATGCAACTAGCAATTTCGGCGACATGCTTCACGCTGCTCGCTTATCAACCTACACACGTTTGTTCATACTTAAACGTGTACTTTTGTATGCATTCCTGTGCTTTTCTATTTTATTAACTAAAACACTTTTGCTGGTTTTGTTGTTTTGGTTATTTTTGTTTTTGCTTTTTCTTTTTTTTTTGGTATTATCTCATGGCAAAAGATTGCTTCATTCATCGATTACGTAATTTTACCGTTATCTGCATGCAGATATGTACATGTGTATGTATGAATACCTATTTGCCTACCAACCCATCGTTCGTTAATGAGGCCTTCGCTGATTTTTTTCTCTGATTGTGTGTCTATTTTTTGTGGTCACCAATTCGATTGTCTTTAAGTGAAGCATATATTGGTATGTGTAATGTGTATATGTGTGTAATTTATGTTTATCTCGTCCCCTTTGGCGTGCGGTGATGCAACAAGAGAATGTCGTAAAAAGCGTTTATTTAATTTTTTTTTAGTTTTCGGTAATCGATTGATTGCCAATACGTTAATTTTTTTGTTGTTGTTGTTAATGCTGTGCGCATAATATGCTTAAACTGAGTGCATGATGTCTGTGTATAAGCAACAGATGTTACGGAAAGTGCAAGTGCGTTAAATCGAATACCGCTTAATTAGAGTTGCAAGGAAACTAGTTAAATAAAAAAAAAAACTAAATTAAATATAAAACAAATTAATTAGAAAATAGAGAAAAATGACATAAATACATAAAAACTTAAGTTTATTAATAAAAAATAGTTAAATAAAAAATTACAAAGTAATAAATAAATGAATTAAAAAAACATAAATAGATAAATAAAATATAAATAAATAAATAAATAAAAAATAAATAAAAAAATAAATAAAAAAAGTAATAAAAAAATAAATAAAAAATTAAATGAAAAAATACATAAATCAATAAAATAAATAAATAAAATAAAAGAAAAACCCAAATAAATATGTTTAAACTAAAAAATAGCTAAATAGAAAAATAAACTAAATAAAAAATAAATTAACTGAAAACTAAAGAAAAAAATAAATAAAAATTTTGCAATCAAATAAAAATTAAAGGAAATAATAAATGAAAAAAAATAACAAAAGTGAGAAAAAAACAGCTATAAAATAAAATGAATCTTAAAAAAATGTAATCAATAAAAAAATTAAATATATAATATTAGTGATATAAGTAACAATTAAATTAAAGAATTAAATTAAATAAATGAAGAATATTTAATCAAATAGTAAGAAAAAATTAAAAAAGTAATAAATTTATTGAACAAATAAAAAAAATTATATAAAAGAAAGCTAAATAGTTTAGGTACATAAAAAATCTATGAAAGAAATTTAAAAAATTGAAATTGAAGATTTCAAAAAATAAATAAATAAAAATAAATAAAAACTGTTTACAAAAAATAACGTAAATATATAAGAAATAATTTCTTTAAATAAATGAGAAATAAATAAAAAATAGAAATTTAAATAAATAATAAATAATCAAATAATAAAAATATAGAAATCAAAAAAGATGAAAATGTATACAAATTATAAAAATAATAAAAAATAAATTTAATAAAAATTAAATAAATAAAAAAATCACATAATTGAATACAAAAATAGAAAATAAGAAAAATAATTAAAAATTAAAATAAATAAAAACTGAATGAATTAAAGTAACAAAAAATAAAATAATTCAATAAAGAGAAAATAAAACGAATAATAAAATTAAAAATTAAAAATGTATTAAATGTATAAATAAATATAAATACAAATAAAAGAAGAATAAATAAATATATATCAAATCAAAAGTAAGAAAATTTATATATAAATTAAGTAGTCAAATAAAAAATCAGTAAAATGAAAAAAAATAATGGAACTAAAAATAGTAAGATAAAGAAAATTAAATTTAAAAAGTAAATATAAATAAGCATTTAAATAAAAAATTAAGAATATAATAAATAAACAAATAAAAATAAATAAATAAACAATAAAAATAAATAAATAAACAAATAATAATAAATAAATAAACATATAAAAAAAATAAATAAATATAAATAAACAAATAATAAAATAAAAGTAAATAAATAAATATAAATAAAGAAATAAAAATGAATAAATAAATAAAAATAAATAATTAAAATAAAAATAATTTAATAAAAATAAAAAAAATAAACGAAAAACATCGTAAATAAATTTATAAAAAAAATTAATATAACCTCGTAAATTCTCCAAGCGCCATTTTCAGCACTTGAAGCTTATTCCATTACCACTGCTAGTATGTGTCTATGTATGTATGCGTTTAATTAACTTTCATTAAACGTTCAATTCTTGTGCCATTTGTGTAACTTTTGAATGAATTTAAAATGCACATAAATATATCTGCATATGAAATTGAAAATCGTGTTGGCATTCATAATTAAACTGAACAGTTCTGATTTGCTGCTGCAACGACGTGTAAATAATTTTTAATTCATATAATTAATTGCATTCCAATAAGATAGCGAAAGTACGATGGTGGATGCAAGAAGAAGTGAAAAACCCGGAAATGAAAAATATATTACATTAAATAAATAAATAAAAATATGAAAAATTAAATAGAGTAGAGGATAGATAAAATGTAGTTAAAAAATAATTAAATAAATAAAATTAAATTAAATAAAGTTAAGGAAAATAATATTAAATAAAATTAAATAAAATTAAATTAAACTAAATAAAACAAAATAAAATTAAGTTAATTTATTAAAAAACATACACATATTTTAATTTTTTGTACAACAGTTTTTGAGCTTAACTACCATAATTTATCAGCAGTAGGAAACTTCTAACAAATCAGATAAAGTTCTTTAACCTTGTCTCTTTCTCTTCCACGAATATGTTTTACATACTTGTGAATATGTGAATATGTAGATTTATTTGTATGTAAAATGTTAAATACGATATAATCCATGTTTAAACCGCTAGATATTAGATGTTATTCTATATGTCTCAGTGTAATGCAAACTCGAAACTATTGCAATACAACTACAGTATGTGAGCTTCATAGTTTCGAATAAATACACATATGTAGGTGTGTGCATATGCTTATATGTGCATAAGTTATGTGCTATAAATGTTTATAAATTTATCATGTAAGCGAAATCACAATTTGTTATGCATATTAATTAATTTTTTAATTGTGAATATCGACACAGATATACGTACGTGTATGTACATACTAAAGAATACACGAGTATTGATTACATACATGTATTACAATTGCCATCGAGTGAACGGTAGCGATTGCAGACAATCATGGAACGTGAAGTAATTTTAATTTGTAAAAATATGTTTTTATGGTTTTTTTTTAATTTTTCTTTAGCTACAAACAAAGCGTAAGAATTCCTTTGTTTGATTTTCACTCGTTTTATCTATCAGAAATGCATATGTAAATATGCAAAATATGTATCTATGGCTAAAAATGTGGATGTAGGGTTTAAGGAAAAAATTTATGTAAATAAGTAAATATCACTTAAAATAAAATAAAATAAAATAAAATAAAATAAAATAAAATAAAATAAAATAAAATAAAATAAAATAAAATAAAATAAAATAAAATAAAATAAAATAAAATAAAATAAAATAAAATAAAATAAAATAAAATAAAATAAAATAAAATAAAAAAAAAATAAAATAAAATAAAATAAAATAAAATAAAAAAAAAAAATAAAATAAAATAGAATTAAATTAAATTAAATAAAATGTCAAATAAAAAAAAATGAAATAATATGAAATAAAATAAAATTAGATACAATTATATTTGATTAAAAAGATATACGAATAAAAATAAATATAATTAAAAAATTTATTACGAATATTTTCAATTTGGAAAACATTTATCTCTGAAACCCACTTGTCATTGGTTATCTATCTATATAGCTTGTGCTTATATTCGTGTAATCGTCCAGCAAGCAGAGTACAATTTCTATTGTATTTGTGTACATTATTGGCTATATTTACCACATAGCTACAACTAATCAAAACCACAAGCTCTATGAGCTGTATGATTTCAAAATGCGATACAATCATACACATTCCCAAAATTCTTTCACACATTCTTCGTTAATTGAATTTTATTTATTGCGTTTTAAATTTGTTATCAAAGTAATTGAATTAAAATTGCGTTCAAATGCTTATTTTCGACAAAAGAATAAAAAAAAAATAACGAAAATTCATTAAATATTCTCTCGTTTTCTCCATTGCAGGACCAATATGAAAATATATCGTCACAGACGAATAAAGGCATAGAATTTCTAGAAAAATATTGCAGTTTCATACAGGATCGTTTGGCGATAGAAAAAGAATATGCCACCAAATTGCGGTAAGTTCATTTTTAGTTTAATGTTTTTTTTTTTTTAATAATATGTAAGTATAAATAAAAAGTAATTAAAGAATATGTTGCTTCAAAATTTTTTTTATTTATTTTTTCCGCTTCACTAAATCACGCTTTCACGAAAATGTGTAGATTCAACGCCAAACACAAAATAGATTTTTATTGAACATTTTTATTCGAAAACAATGTGACGGTCACCACAATTAACTTCAGTTGTCCTCGAAGATTTTGCAATGCTTTGTGACACGATTGACCAAAACTACTTACTAACTAAATCAAAAGAAGTTTGGTTAAATATTTGCCTCACTTACGCCGATATGTCTCCAAATAGGCATGCATAACAACGAGCTGATAAATTCAGCAGCAATAAACGTATGCCCAATGAAACAAATAAATAAATAAGTAAAATAATTTAGCATGTTTGGCACACAAATTAATTTTATTTTTATGCTGTCATTACTTCCACTAAAATTATATTATATTTTCAGCCACTGATAGCGGTTGTGGGTTGTGTTAAAATGCCGCATTGAATTCCACGAACGCCAGCCGCGCCGCGCCCATTACTTATACTATAGCTTGCAAAAATTAATACATACATAAAATCATACTTCATTAGTAAAATTTCAAATTTGTACACAAAAGAAAAAACTCAACAGCTGTGGCAGTCACACTCCTTAGTGTTGCTTTATAGACACCTGGAAATTTTCAAATGACCATATTTTTTGTAAAGAGGAATTTTATATAAATACCTTTGGTTCGAAGTATGCAAATACCAGGAGGAGAAGTGATATACCCATCACCGTTTATACCAATACGATCAGATTGACGAGCTAAGTTGAATTTCTCATGCCCGCCTGCCAACTAGTTAGGTTGGGTTTTTGAGTTATTTCAACCAAATAGGGTGTACATTTCAACGATCATCTGAGGAAAGCCGGCAGATTTTTTCATAAAGCACGAAAATATCTACGTTTGAAACATCATTTTTACAGGGTTTTAACAATTTGTGCGCTCGATAAAAGATCCATTCTCATAAATTCCTTAGCTAAAACAAAAAATGTTTGTTTTGACAATTAAGTTTGACAGATGCCAAAATACAACTCAGTACTATTTTTTGGTTTTTCATTTCATTTTGTTCACGTTTTTTTATTTCAATTAATGTAATATAATATAATTTTATTTTATTTCATTTAGTTAAATTGAAATGTATTATTGTGTTGTATTTAGTTTGATTTGATATTTTTTTTTTAAATATTATATTTTGCTTTAGTTTAATTTATTTTAATTGCTTTATTTGGTTTAATTTTACTTTCTTTACAATACACGTATTATATTTAAGTTGATTTTTTTATCGATTTTTTTACTTTACTTTTTATTTTTTATTTTTTTTAATTATTTAATTTTTTTTATTTATTTTATTGTTTATTTATTTTATTGTTTATTTTTTTATCTTTTATTTATTTTATTTTGTATTTATTTTATTTAGTATTTTTTTCTTTTTATTTTTTTCTAAATTATTATATTTTGTATTTATTTTATATGTTATTTTTTTATTTTGTATTTTTTTCGTTTTGTTTATTCTATTTAAATTCATTTAATTTCTTATGTGCTAAATTTTTTATATATTTTGTTTTTTAATTGTTTACTTTTTTATTTTTTATTTTATATACTATTTATTTTAATTCTTATTTATCTTATTTTTTATTTATTCTATTTTGCATTTATTCTATTTGGCATTTATTTTATTTTGTATTTATTTTATTTTTTATTAATTTTTTATGTTTAGTTTATATTTATTTATTTTTTGTTGTATAATTTTATATATATATTTTTTTTTTCTAATCTTATTTATTTTATTTTGTACTTTTTTTGTTTTATTTATTCTATTTTTATTTATTTTATTTCTTGTTTGTTTTTATTTTATATATTTTGCTTTTTAATTATGTTATTTTTTCATTATTTATTTTTTATTTCTTTTTTATATTATTAATTTTATTTTGCTTTTGTTTTTCCTTTACTTTATTAAGTATTTATTTTATTTTTAAATTAGTTTTGTATTTATTTGATTTTTTATTTGCTTTATTTTTATAAATTTATTTTGTTTTGTATTTATTTTATTTTTTAATTATTTTACTTGTTTATTGTTTTCATTTAGTTCTTATTCATATATTTTATTTTTTAAATTATTTTATTTTGTATTTATTTAATTTGTTATTTAATTTATTTGTTATTTATTTTATTAATTATTTTTTATTTATTTTATTTGTATTTATTTTACTTTCTAATTGTTTTATTTATTTTCTTTCTTATTTTTGTTTTATTATTAATTTTTATTATGTTTTTATTTATTTTTTGTGTTCTTTTATTTTTTGTTGTAATAAGTTTATTTTAATTTAATAATATTTTGTGGATTTAATTTTTATTTTTCGTTCCAAAAATTGCAAAGGAAATATTCATATTTTATCGCAAGATTAACATTCCCATGTGTCACTCGCTATTAACCAATTATTCTTGCACAATTACGTTACCATCGATGTGTACATACACATAAAATAAATTCATCAATAATATCCATTAAAATGCTGCGTCAATGCTAAAAACCGACGATTCCAATAACTGGCAAGTGGCAGAAAAAAACCGCCAATATTTATTTAATGAAAAAATGAAATAAGAAAAAAGAGACCTCTTTCGAATTCATGGCTCAATGGCCAAGAACGCCAAAATTGGTGGCGGCTCACCATACCAAACCATCTGGCTAACTTGAAACCTCTTTAATATATAGTCATTTAACATAAATACACTTATCTATATATGACACAATGTATGGTATACATGTATGTACTCGTATCACCCGCTTCACTCCGTTACGTTCAAGCCAACGACAACGGCAGCTTAGGCGCCAAATCAATTCACCCGGCAAACGGGCTCGACTTTTAAGGTGGTCCAAACAAATTCAACGCCAAACGATCGCTCTTATGTTTGTATAAACACATATGTATATGAGTATGTAGCTATGTTTGTGTGAATTTATTTTATATTTTATTCAATTTTTTCTAATTCTTTTTTATATTTTACTCCATATTTTTTTATTTCATACTGCCGCAAAAGCAAAAGTTTAAATCCACTGACGACAGTTAACTTGAAGGTCAGCGACAAGAGATTTATTTGGCTTTTTTGTGTTTATGTTTCATTTTGGTGTTTAGCGTTCACCGTTTGCCGTTTGCAATGGTGCTGGTAAACAGCTGCAACTTTTTCTGGCTTTTCTGTTTTGTTATTGAAAAATCTCATTAAATTTTATTTGCGCCAGAGAATGCAATGAGTAATTAAATGAATGTCTTAGTGAAAAATAGTAATAATAATAACCTTAATAATTGGTAGAATTGTTGTAATATATTATGCTGATAGTTGTTGTTGAGATATGAGTTGGCTCTTATTTACGATAATAATAACACTTTAATAGTCTAATTAAAAACTTTGAGTAAAATAACTGACACTGAAAGAGCTTAACTCTCTCTTAAGTTCTCAAGGAGGAATAGAACGCAGGTAATTTAGCTTTATTACAAAGATCAAGACTTTCGCCAAGTGGCCGTGGCTGGCACGAACGAACTCTAGCCGGCTAGAGCCGATTTTCGACCACTTTTTGTAGCAATTGGGGCCGTTAATAGTTCTACGGTGTTAAAACACACGAAAGTGTGGGCCATGCCATAGGCTCACCTCAAGTTTCCTTCAATAGATTGATTGTTTCGTTGGCTGCAGGACCTGAGTCATCGTCTTATTGGTATCGAAAGTCATCCATATCACCATCTTCTAATTCAGGCACGAAAAAGTCATTAATCGTGACTCTATGGCGTTTCCCATTGACTGTAACATTTTGGTCGGCTTAATTTTTGAAGGAAAATGGACCAATGACTCCCTCTCCTCATAAAACACGCCAAAAAGTGACTTGCCGAGGATGTAATGGTATATCAGCGATAGCTTGTAGATTGTCATCTTTCCAAGTGCGGCAATTTTGTTTATTAAAATAATCAAAAGTGAGCTTCATTGCTGAAAAAAATTTTCTTGCGAAAATCGAGATCGGTAGTCATCTCGTTTTGGGCCCATTCAGCGAACGGACGATGCGCTTACTGGTTGTTCGGCTTCAGTTCTTACACGTTGAGTTGGATTGCACTGAATTGTACCGAAAATGTTTTTATGGTCGGAATCGCAGGTTATGGAGATGTCGGCTTGAATTTATCGTTGTCGACAATAGAACTATCGATGACACCTGGCTACTCAAACGAGTAGTTGCCAATTTTATCTTCCCATAGATATTAATTCCCTATACTAAGAGCATACTCTCGTAACTAAATAATCTAAACATCTCCCTTGAGGAATAAGGTGACTTAATTACCAATATCTAAAGCATACCCTAGAGCAAAAGTTTCTTCCACTGGTAAACCCGAATACCCCATACAACCCCGACTATGACGAAGTTTGGAAGTGGCGATAGCCGACAGCTTACCCACTGGAATACTTCAACAACGTATTGAAGTTATTAAAATTTACTATCAAAATTTCACCGAAAAATCATCATGACTGCAGAGGACCACTTCCACCTCCTGGGATGACGTAGGCCAAAATGTGAAACTGCCGCATGTGGGGCTCGGTAAAACCAAGCTTTGTTGTCAAAAAGTTTCTCCAACGTCAACGTGGAAACGTTGCTACGGTTTATGGTCCGGCGGCTTCATTGCGCTATCGAGGGATTAATGGATAATGATTTTTTATGGCCGTAATTGGATCTTACTGATCTGGACAACATTTCCTTTCAACAAGACGGCGGTACAAGTCACATAACCAACGGAACCATCGATCCCTGAAGGGAACAGTTTATTATATTTTATATACGAGGTAGATATATAGATATGCGATAGATCGTGCGATTTAACGCCTTTAGACTATTTTTTGCGGGGCTATGTTGAATCTAATTTCCATACAGACAAACCCGCTTCAAT